AGGTGCATGTGGTGCACTTTGTGAACAAAACTTTGCTGCATCTTCCAGCTCAGGTCATCATGGCTTGAGTGTTACTGACTTAGGCTAGTCATTGTGATTTATACCTGCCATAATCCTGGGAAGGTGGTTGTTGACCGTTGCACCACGATAGTCTATTGGGCCTTCCGCGAACTTTTTAGAGTAAAAGTATGACCTTCTTGCGCATAACTCATAATACTTGGCGTTAATTTTACACAAAATGCAAGCGCATAAAATACCGCAAAATAACTTCTCGCGTATTTTTACTTACTTTCGTTTTCTCTGTCCTCCTTATCTATTCCGTTCTCTCATTAGTTTTTCCTTCTTTCTGTCGTCCATTGGCGGCAGGTAGAAAAGACTACCCACAACTCTTAATATTCCTGCTTATCTTCTACGATTCTATAACAAACAATGGCGCAGCCATTCCACTGAATCTTTCCCAAAATAGTAATGCTTTTGAGTAATGAAAAGTCTCGTTCTGTTTGCAAGCTATAATTAGCAGATTTTCTGCTTTGGAAGCTCCATCTATTGTTCTTAAAAATATTTTAGCCAATGCCTTAAACTTCTCTTGGCGTGTAAGTTAATGTCACTTTCCCATCAATTTAACCTTCCTTACCTGTGTATCGGCACAAACTACCCGTTGAATGTCTGCAACATACGTTTCCTCACTTGCACCATGTCCTTTTACTGGCAGTTTTGTCTTTAGATTTTTGGTTTCTACATTTTAGCTGCACGTTTTGTAAACTCGCACCCCAATAAGTAACTCATCTGTTTTTTTTGCGGTTCTGGTATGTGATAATTTGTAAAGTCATCATCCGCATGTCATGGCAGGTCTGTAACTACTTTGCGCCCATATATTTAGCCTACTGTACGTGAAGTGAGCAGTACAAATGTATTTCTGTGTAGCGTCAGGGGCCAACTGGAAACGACCTAAACAATAGGTGAAGATACGAGCTAGTTAGCTGTTATACTCTGTAAAGCACGGTTCGATCCCAGGAAAGTGTGTTTTAGCCTGAAATGTCTTAAAATCGGGTTCGAGTATTCACTTTTCCCTTTTTGAATGTGGGACTTATAAGTTTCAAATTTGTTGGAAATCGTTGATAGCATAACCAGACTGCATTCATTCGCCTGGCTCACCGCCGCGCAACACTAACCTCAGCAGTTTTCCTTGCA